AAAATAATGTTGAATGAGACCACATGTTTATCTACAATAGTATTGACAGATTGGTTTAGCGAAACGTCATTCTCCCTACTGACAGCTTTCAGTACCTCTAACAGTGTAACAAAGCAGTCTTTCTTAAGTAGTGCAGGAAAGATTTAAGTGGGGTGGGAATAATAAAGAAGAATAGGTGGATGCAAGAAATGGCACTTTATAAAAGTAAAGACTGGGTAAAACCAGATCGTTTCAACATCAAAACGTAGAACGTGAAATGAAAAATCTTTACAGGAGCTGAAATGATATGGGAGGACCAGGAAGGATCAGAAGAAATTAACAGTCCAAGGTATTTAACATTCAATTTACTTTTCACCTTAGTGCTATCTACGATAGTAGAGTTATACAAAAGAGCCAGTTCGTGTAAGTGGCCTTTGCATCTGAAACTGAAATCCACAACCCAGCATTTGGAGTTATTAGGATCAAGACCATTTGACAGTCATCGCTGACTGATTTCTAATAAAACATTATTCATAGATGGAATATATCTCATCCCTTACAGACTTCTTTTCAGTAATGAATTTTATTTTCCTTCACGTTCCCTAGTGGAACATAAAGCTTCAAGCTTGTGGCTTGAAGTTTCTGTAGCAGTGTTTATTTTACAGGATGAGGTTGCCAGCCTCATGCCCAAACTTTCCTCTTCACCAGTATTATTTCTGGCTTAGCGAGGTAAAGAAGGGCGTTGGCCGGTGATCGAACCCCGGACCATGTGCATGGTCGGCGAGCGTCCTAACCGCTACACCACCGACGCACTCAGTAATGAATAAAAGTAGTTTACACAGAATGTCTGCAGTGGAGGAATCATAATTTTTATGTCAATGAGAAATGTACTGGGTAAGAAACATGAGAAGCACTGATCAAATGTACTGAAAGAAACCGCACAGACAACAAACGGGGGCAAACAATGCATGTTCAGGACACAAATTTCCCAATCGTTGTAAAGATTTCTGAGTTTCGAAGTGTATATTGTATTTTCACCGCGAAGCTTATTTCCTTGATACCGGTCATACACGGTGTGTTTGAATCATTCCTGGGAATCAGGTCGAAATCAAGATCTTACAGCCGGCTAAAGACAGCCAACTTAAGGTAATTTAGAATGTACAATTTCTTTCAGTCAAAAATTCCTAACACTCCTCATTGTAAGGCAGACAGCTACAATAGCTCGCATGTTGGTCATCTGAGAATAACACCCTATTTCTTAGCAGTGTGCCTTCCCCCACAGACCCCTCCTAAGCTCGGCGGGAACAACTTATACTGTCACTGTAACTGCTTCTAGTCAAATCACCATCTGAACAAGTTCTCCGCCAAGATGGGACCAACAGGAACATTTGTTTCAGACAGCATCGCTTGTCAGTACATTGAGATATGCTAGCCCACCACCGTTACCTCGAGGAAACAACTATTAGTCACTATTTTCCTCTGCTGAGTCTACCTTTGTGCGCCACAATGAAATATGGCAACTTGAACTGTTGTGTCTCTGTGCAAAGTCTCACGCTGAAACTCAGTCATTCAGTCACTGCTCTCACGACTTTCGTTCACTTCAAAGCAAAACCTTTCGTGATTAGGTGTGGAAATGGTTAAAAGTGACATATAGTTTTCGAAACTACAGCGTTAACGTTAAACACGTACAGTAGCTTATTACTGCATTAGACTGAATTGTAACGCAGCCGGTAAATTTACTCAGCTGTGAATCCCTAAATGAAAAAATCACGTAACAGTCAATAAAACAGGTGAACAAAGCATTTGAAACTCGATAAATTGAAAATGTTAATCTGATGTGAAGTAAGCCAAGTGGGTGTCCAGCTGACAAGTAGGGAGAAGGGAGGAAAAAACTCAGTAAAAGAAAAATACAAAAGTGAAAATAGTGAGGTGAATCTTCTATTCATTACCAGCAACATCTTCAGATACTGAAAAAACTCTTACTTTTATTCACCAGAAACGTATACTAGTCTATTACTGAGTAGTAAATGAGGGGGAAGGGGATGATGTGACTGATACATTTACGCAGAAGTGGCTCTCAGACAGAAAAAGATATTACGCAACAACCAGTGAAAAAAGGCAACAAAGGGTTTGAAATTTGATAATGTTGAAAATGGTTAGTCGATGCTGAGAATTAAATGCATCAATTACGCACAGTCTTATTTGAAATTAGGGAGATTTTAAGTGGCTTTTATTTTTAAAACGTCAAAAACTCTCAAAGTATCAGACATATAATAATACTTTCATATATTGCTTTTGAATTTCGAGTGCAGCATATGGCTTCAAGTTATTGGAATGAAGTTTCTGTATGAATGATTTCAATTTTACAGGGCAGAGTGTTGCAAACTTCACGTCCAACCTAACAGTCTTTACTGGGTTTGCTTGCAGCTAAGCGAGGTTTGGGAGACCGTCAGCTGGGGTGTCGAACTCCAGGTTACATACGTAGTCGCCTAGCATGCTACGAAATGTCCTTACAGCTGTTTCGCCCTTAAATGGCACTCCTCGGCAGTATTCATCCATGAACATACCAGCGATTAGTTTCACGACTCTGAGGTTAAAGCGTAGGCTCACATTTACTTCAGATATTAGGTCCCCTCAATAAAGGATTGTGTTGCACAGATGTGTAAACCAAAACTGTGTTCATATTATTATGCACGATCCTCAGGTACGTTTTAATCAGAGTAGTTTACGTTGCAAATATGACTAAAGTCTGAAATATAGCACATCTAATGGTCTACGAGTGATTGGAGGTGCCAATATTTAGTTAGAGGTTGGCCTAGCAAAAATGAAAACAGGAGTTATAAGTGACAGACGCCTGGACGGTAAGCGTCATCCACATATCTTCAAAAATATGGTGGAGATATGTGGATGACAATTTCACACTGTTAAAAACAGAACATATCTCTAGCTTCTTGAAACATATAAACCCACTAATAGAAGGAATAAAATTCACATTTGAAGCCGAAAATGAGCAAGGAGAATTAGCTATGTTAGATTGCAAAATAAAACGAATAGAAGAAGGCAAACTACACACTAGTGTTTATAGAAAACCAACGCATTCTAATAGATATCTTGACATTAATTCATCTCATCCATTAACTGTTAAGGCAGGCTTAGTTACGTGTTTATCAAACCGAGCGATGGTACTAAGTGGCACACAGAAAGACCTAAATGATGAAATAAAACAGATAGAAAAGGCGTTGGTGTTAAATAACTATCCTCTAAAATTCATTAGGAAGATTGAAAAAGGCCAAAAGAAAAGTAAAAAGAATTGTGAAACTAGTAATAATAACATAAATATGAGAGAATATAAGTCATCTACAGTTATACAATATAAAGAAGGGACATCTGAGGCCCTACGTAGGATTCTCAATAAAGCAGGAATTGCGGTGGCATTTAAACTTATAAACTAACTCAGGGACAAGCTCTGTATGTTAAAGGACCCAATTAACCCAATTAGACAAAATAATATAATTTACAAAATACCCTGCAATGACTGTGAGGTCAACTACATAGGTCAAACTAGTAGGTCAGGGATAGTCAGATTGTCAGAACATAAGAATTTAGCTAAGGTAAAGATAGTTGATCCCGAGAAAATAAATAATTTAGAAAAAGGCTCAGCAATTGCACTGCATGCATTAACACACAACCATACAATAGGGTGGGAGAGGGTTACAATTCTAAAAAGTAATCTAGGTAGGTGCAGAGAGAGGTTGATTACTGAATCCTTGTTCTTCGAATCTACACCGAACACATGCAATAGGAATGATTCATCACTCATACCCGAAATATGGAAAATAATACTACCAATCAAATCAAGTGAAAAACAATGGAACTATATAAATGAATTTAGGAAGTCGTGTGATTACCTTGATATGATTATGAGCAATAAATTGTGCTCGAAACGTCATCAGTAAATATTACTGTATAACACTTTGAGACCTTATCAAAACAAAATGTACCCATAATGGAATTACACTCTACCACAGTGCACATGTTTTATTCTTATATCGATAAATATCAAACATTACTGACACTCTCAAGCAAAATAAGAACACAAAGAACTTCATCAACAAAATCACCAACTACATTAAATGTGGTCATAAAGATCACAGACGTCAGACGATATCGGAAGAGTACTCAATAAACTCAATGTGATAGTTTTCCTCAAAACATCAGATACAACCTCGTCAATCTAAAAGACCAAATCCCTAAGGATTCTTTGCCCTAATGTGTCTATAAAATAAAATGCTTTGAATGTGATACGATGTACATTGGATGAATATGGCGAGAAATCAAAATCAGAAGAAATGAGCACCTACTCAACCATCAAAAAATCTAACTGAATGAGAAAAGCATGAAAAACCACCAGCCATAGCTCGTCTACACGCTATACAATCAGGTAATAAGATTGATTTCGACATTATTGAAATAATCTAGAAACATTTCAAAGATCACAAATAACGCCTGCTACCACAAGCACTTTATATCAAGTGGAATCCAAATTATCTGAATGGAAATGATAGACTAAAACGAAGTCCTCCTGCTCCATGAAATGATGAAGTCAACACAAATGTGATAAGCGGCTTTATTATGTAAACACACGCTGCTTTTATAATTTTATACACTTATCAAATCATGCAGTCTACACCTGGTTTTGTTATCTTTACCAACTGGCCAACTTGACAACTTAATAAAAATTACCTCATACTGTAGAAAGACGATTAAGTTACTGTATATAAGCTGGGATTTTGTAAATTCTGGTTTAATGATACCTTCCTAAAGCTGTTAGAATCCTAAGATATCGAAAAGTCAGTAAAAACAACAATATCGTTTTGTTTTTCATTCATTCACTGGGAAATACAAAACTTTTATAATCTAATGAACATCACCCATACCTAATGCCCAAATGTTTTCAAACTGTTAAAAGTGAACTCTGTACGAACATATATATATATATAGCTCAAGAAAAATTTGTGCAATTACAAATACACCCAGTGACAAAGAGAAACATCAGCTACACTCACCATTATTGTTCCAACATCGACAACTGCACCACGACGTGCTATTCCAGCCAGTGCAACTTTATCACACGAGACATTCTTTTTATTTATATATCCAACATCAAAAAAGAAATCGTGATTGACATCATCAAGTGTTGTATGGGATAATCCACTGGAGGCTGCACTACTCTTATGACTAGATACTCCACTCATTTTTATTGAAGACACTGAGGTATACACGATAGTGTCAAGTACAGTAAAGGCAGCGGGTTAATCCATTCGGAGGGATATATGAATAACGCGAGTATTCCGTAATTCGTCAGGTTGCGATTTGTGATGTGGGGAATTCATTTTTTTCATTTTTTAGCAAGTCTTAAATCCAAGTGTTTGTTTAAAAGTCATTATAAATCCTCAATACTTTCTAGTCTGATTCATATTTACAACATATTTTCACAACTAAATCCCTCCCTGGTTGTGAGAATAATAAACGAAGAAGAAAATTATTACAAAAAATCCTTGTGGTCATATTTCTTGTTTCAAATAGATTTCCTAACTTCTTTTGATTGGCTGCCAGCTAACCAATCAGGGTTAATCACTTATAATGTTGGCAATAGACATTTCAATAAACACTTGGGAAAATTAATATTTTTAAGAATTAATCTGTACAGATTTAATTTATTTCAAGTGTGATAACGGAGTGATATCAGTGAGAGAACCATATTGAAAACTGGGAAGTATTGGACTACCCGGCAGTATGCAAGCAACGCAGGGTTCAAACCCAGGACCCTCAGCTTATTAGTCAATCTCGTAGACCATTCGGTCACTGTCCAGGAATCCAAACTTCTACGATTCCAGTGTAACTGGCACCAGCCAGTGTCATCGGCAAGCATTTCTCCGCACTGGTCATGACTTCTCGAACGAACTTCAGGCAACTTCTTCCTGTCACCAGTCAATGGTGGTCATTAGATGAATTTTCAAGAGTTAGTCTGTATGTACTTTATCTGTTTCAAGTTTCATGTGGTCAGAAGTCGTGACCAGTGATTGCGAGTGAGGATAAACACTCACCGATGATGCTGGCTGGTGGTTGCTCTAAAATCACGAATTGGCAGAAGTTGGAATTCATGCGCTGGTCATTGATTTGGGTCCTAGTGACTAAATGGCCTACAAACCTTACTTTTAAGCCGGAGGTCCTGGGTTCTAACGATGAGTTCCAAACTGGGACGAAACAACTGTTTAGTACTTCCTAGTTCGTAATGGTTATGCTTAGCAGTCGAAGGTGTACAAACTTTGTGAATTGGGATGGCACTTTATCTTCCATCGTAAAAACTATATTTTTAACAATCTTATACTCTTTATCTCCTAGCTGTGCCAATATATGCGGCTCGTGATTACGATTACTTTTCCTGACCAAACTGAATAATGCTGAAGAAGGAGAAACTGACCTTGCCAAGTCTGTATACTCAGGCGACAGTGTTCATAAGGGGATTAAAATTTATAAAAGCACAATGAACTATCCAGACTAGTTGGTTATCCTTCAGCTGCATACAACACGTGATGAATTAAGAATAAAGTATACTATGTATAAGCTACAATTTTAGTAGGTTCGACGACAGTTATTCAGTAACTTTATCTTCTTTGAGAGACAAAGTCTTAGATTCATACATTTCTTTCCACTGATAGCAGGGGTGTTTTCTAACTTTTCTCATCTAAAAGTCCTCAACATATTTCCCTGAGTATTCATTCTCACATATTAGGTTCCCTGTTCTTACTTAATTTATACTCCAGTCCGTCGTTTGTTAAACATGTGTGGTTCCCTGATGTTTATTGACGTTACTTAAGACAGACTCGGACTAGAGTTTATAGTTTTCATCAGTAGAGAGTCATTTTAGCGTAATTCAGTTTTATCTAAAGGATCATATAAAACCAGAAGCCTATATAGAAAACTGCATGCTCGCACCAGCAAGTACAAAACTCAACCAAAGCCTACTTAGCTCGTGTTCTGTGCGATAAAGAAAGCATTAGGCGTAACACCTATAATTCATTAAATAGTCAGTAGTACAACTGGACCTCGTCTTTCCAACCCATATCATTTATAGGTGCAACATTTTCTTTCATTCTTTTCTTTTTCTCTCTCTTTTTTTCCTAATATGTGGCTTTGTTTCTTTCTCTCGCTTACGCCAGAAAATATGATAGCACCTACTTTTCTAACACCTTCAAACACTGTTCAACTTTGGCTTTGCTACCGACATGCCAATATGTTGTTGTCATAACGAACTGAGATTTCCTTAATCTATGTAGAATTCTATTTATTGATAATGTACTAAATGGATGCAATACTGTAGACAAAATGCTGAGAATGCCATTTTGTATCACATGTACTTTTTTGGAATAAAGCAAATTATTATTAATAATGAACGCCATTTGGTTAGTGATGGTCAGGAGTGCAATCTGGGATTCATATTTCATCTAATTTTCAACTTGTCATCTTAATATGCCTACATGTACAGGGAGTGATAGTGTTTCGAATAAGATTCGGACCTGATATCTCCTGTCTCAGATGATAAAGCGTTATCTTTTGGGCCACTGAGCTAAAAGAGGCACCTTTATTGCCATATGCGTCGGTTGTTATTTTATCAGTTGACTTGAATTTCCCGCTAGTTGAAACGTATTGATTGGAAGCCATCAGTCTATGTGTGTAGATATGTTTTCTCTCAGTACGGTCTCTTCGATGACGTTTGATTGTTACTGTGATGTCATTTGGTCGGTGAACTAGTGCACAAAGTTTCGGGGTTTAACATGATGTCTGCTGGATTCAGGTTTTGAATGAAAACATCTTCACTCACTTGACACGCAAGTGTGACGAGCTCACAAGTTCAAAATTGGAAAAAAATAAGCATCCTAGTATCCATTACTATCCATCACCAGTAACATTACGTCAGACACTGCTGAAGATTGTGAACACCTGCCATCTTGGTTTGGTCTGAATAAAGCTGCTATACTCAGCTCAGCACCAGCTCATCTTGTCAATAGGAATATGAACATCAAGTTGACTATAATAAAGCTTCTAAAGGTATTCGTCGTATATCACGCAAACTCTCGCATGATCTATGAGTACGACTTTTATATGCAGCAGAAGCAAAGGCATTCGGAATTCACCTGGACAAGCCAAAGAAGTGCGGAAATCAAAAAAGTTTTGTAAAGTTCCTTTCTTGGCCGAATTCGGCCAACTATATAACTATCTTTTGACTTGGTTATTTTATTACTTTTAAAATTCTAGCTAATTCTATTAACGCGTTTGCATTTTATGTGATTCTACTGAGTCATCATATTCACAATAGTCATCAATGCTATTTTATATATTTTTAGATGGTGTAACAACTTGTAACAAACGCTAAAGAATTAACTTATCTTGTATTCCGTAATTAATTAATTTTCACCCCTTCTTCCTTCAAAACAAAGATACCTTGTTACTGACATGTATCAGTTGACCGTTTTGACGACTTCCAACCCGTTAATTTCACCCACCTTACTTATACCTAAAACTGATCAACTAAAGTAACCGCTTGATTGATAAAAGATCTTCCTGTAAAAACTACATATAAGAGTAGGGCCAGCCAATGGTGAGGAAATATTTGAACAGACATCTTTGCTGAGTTTATTGTTCCTTTTTATGTAATGTCCTGATTTGTTTTTTTTATGATTTGCAACAAATGCGACACTTATAGACAAGCCAGAAGCGATATAAATCTACAGTGTTTTTTGCACTAAAACCAGAACATATTTTGCATGGCGACCGGTGAGGTTCATCCAGTCAAGTGTGAAGATGGATGTCGCGCCAGCGACATTGGTTGAGGTCGCGCTAAACCACGAATTGGTAGAAGTTAGAATTCATGAGTTGACCATTGAATTGGGTGTCAGCGGGTGAATGGCATACGAGCTTGCCTTGTAACCGGTAGGTCCTGAGTTCGAACCCTTAAAGTGGGTGCGCACTGCCGATGATTCGTAAACTAGGATGAAATAACTGGCTATCCAGTAATCCCTAGTTTTCAGTGATTCTCCGACTGATATCAATCCGTGATCAACTAGTAGAAAGAAACGAAGCCTGAAATATTCTAATGTGGCTGCAACTGACAAAATTCCAGAAGGGCTAGGAAATTAAAAGTCTGAATTCAACCAAAACTCGCCCTACAAGTTGAGTTATTGTTCAGATAACATGAAAACCAACTATATAATGACTGTTAGTAGTTCAATAGTATCGTCTCTGACCGCAGCACTGGGCGACGCGGGTTTGAATCTCAGAAGGAATATGAGATCCTCCAACATTGCAGATACGCCTTGCTAACTGGTGAGTGCCTACTATTACGAAACATAGGTCAGGCAAGGCTTCTTGCCTATTGAACCCAGCCATCGAATATCATCAAATCAATATGCACCCTTGATGGTGAGCAACCTAGAATCGTAGCCACATTGCGAACCTGAGTGATGGAATTCAGTCTGCACCAAACAAAGGACTAGACACTTCACACTAGTTACTAGTGTCCAATCAAAATAACTGTCAAATTAAACTTAATTCATTAGGCAACAGATACTTTCTAAACTTTATCTGCATTTTTTAAAGCCATCCAACTTTTTCTACTTATATAAAGCTAGGCAGTAATACAATTATGGGTAAAATTTATTTTGATAAAGTCTCACAATGTTGTACAGTTATATTCACTGATGACCAGATTTCGAGCACATTTTATTACTGCTCATAATCATATCATGGTACTCACACAACTTACTAACTTCGTTTATATAATGCCATTATTAAATAAGTAATTTAAGAAAAGAACTCAGCATTCGCATTGCATGCATAAACACATAAACATAAAGCTTCGCAACCAAACCATCCAGCTCAGAGAACACAACCACACCAAAATCATCCACCTGAGCTACAAATCTTCTCTATTATATATAAACACACAACCACACAACAGGGTTGTAGAGGGTTGAAACTGTTAGAAGCTAATATATGTAGTTGGAGACAGAGATTGATTACTGAATCCTGGTTCATCAAATCAATAGCGAACACGTGCAATAGGAATGACTCATCACTCATACCGGAAATATGGAAAATACTACTACCAATCACGTTAAGCGATGGAAAATAATGGAATTATATAAACGAAGTTAGAAAGTTGTGTGAGTACCTTGATAAGATTATGAGCAATAAATTGTCCTCGGAACCTGGTCATCAATAAATATTGCTGTATAACACGGTGAGACTTTATCAAAATCAATTCCACGCATAATGGAATTACACTCTACCACAGTGCATAAGTTCTATTCTTATATCTTGGTAGTAGTACCATTGTGTTGACACACAGGTGGTTCTACGCGTTACTGAATCTTTTCCCGGCAATACTGAAACAATTAACAATTGACTAGATTAGCTCAGAA